ATCTATTGTGAGAATGGAATATATACAGTGTTAGAGGTTATGAGAAAAGTTTGAAAAATGTGTATGAAAAGTTGATTCACATTTTAAAATGATCTCAGTTCTAACATGAAATAGACACAAAATTATTCGTGTTTTTAATTGGCATGCTTGATGTACTTTGAGTAGAAATTAAATATTTTAAACAAATTTTGTCAACAAGAACAGGGACAGTGAAAAGGTGTTCATTGTAATTCCATTCATTTTAATATATCCTAGATAAATAACTTTCTTGTCTAAACTTTTTTTAGTATTGTGTACTGGCCAATTGTCTAAACTTTTTATTTTATAACTATATGTATGTATATGTTGAGGATTAATGTTTTATGTTAAACTCTATATCAGAAAGTATGAGGTCTTTCTGGTTGTCGAAACACTTTTGGATATCTCATTAGATTTCTAATCATGGAGACATTTCAGGAAGTATTGCAAATGACTTTTTTAGAATTCTTGGCTTTGTTGGGACATTACAGATCCTTCATTTATTGAGTTGTTTACAAGAGTAAGCATTTTTGCCATGAATGAATCTTAACTCAGTGCAAGAGATTATAGATGGCCAAATGACTCTTCCACTGAAGCTGAAGTCAGATCTGTATATGATAAACCTTGGTATTTCATTGGTGTTAATTTTGGTATCATTCATTGTCTTATAAAGGAAAATGATGCTGTTTCCTGAGACCAGTGTTACTTGGAAAACCTTGTCTAACTAACAAGTTCCCAAGAAATATTATTCAATAGTGTATTGCCAAGAACATCTTAGGTAATTCAACAAAAGTGCTTTCTTTAAAAAGTCCAAAAACACTTCATTTTAATTTACAATTATTTATTGAGATCCTTGCTGATTTCGTAGGGTCAAGTTGGTTATGACAGGGATCCAAAAGAAATACATAACTTATAAAGAGGTAATAATGATTTTGGAGAAACAAAATAAACTTACATGAAACATCCACAAAACCAAGAAAGGATATAATTTAGTGTCAACTTAGTAAATTAATATTCTTGCATAGTCAGACAATCATCAGTAATCTTCCTATAGCACTTACTGTCATAATTTTTGGTTATTTAATGTCAGTATAACAGTATAATTTATGTTTTCTGTGCCTCAACAAAATTTGATTATAAAAGCCTTATTTTTCAGCAATGAAATCAGCATATGTTGTTGGACACATAGTATGTGCCAGCAGACTTACAAGCATTGGGGTTACAAATGTGAGCAAAATAGAGAGGTCTCTGTACATAAGGAGCTTACTGCTTTGTGCGTATATGTGCAGTGGTGGGGTGGGGGGTGTGCCAGGGAAGAGACAGTAAACATATGAACAAATAAGTAAGATAATTTCAGCTATTTATAAGTATTATGAAGATGTTAAAAATGTTGCAGTGGAGGTCCTTTGACCCCTGTTGTCAGAGAAGGCCTGCCTAAAGAACTAAGGTTTGAGTTGAGGCCTGAATGATAAGAAATAATTAAATAGGTAGTCAGATTTACAGTTTGGAGCTCAAGGTAGAGGTCCAGGTTAAACAAAGAAGTTTGAGTCATCATTATGAACATGATATTTAAAGCCATGAGACTGGTTGAGATATGTTCATAGAGTGTGTAGGTGGAGAAGAGAGTTGAGTGTGGAGCCCTGGAACAGTTCAACATTGAGAAAACTAGTAGAGGAGGAAGAGGCAACAAAGGAACCTGAGAAGGAACAGATAGGAATTAAGATAAAACCCAGGCAAATGTGGTATCACAGAGGCTAGAAAATAAAGTGTTTCATGAAGGGGCAAAGTCAACAATGTCAAACATTGTAGAGAAGTCAAGTAAGATGAGAGTTGAGAGCTGACCTTTGCCTGTATTCAGCTATAGATTATCAGTGATTTTGGTAAAAATTGTCTGTGGAGAGGTGAGAGACGAAAGCCTTATTGATAGGTTGAAGAGATAGTGCGAGGCAACAAACAGAGACAGTAAGAATATGCAAGTCTTTTGAGGGGATGCAAGTCTTTTGTAATGAAGGACAGGAGAGTAGGAAACAAAATCCAATTATTTGAAAAGATCGATAATTCTAAGGCAGGTTTTTATGACAATAAAATCGATCCATAGAGAAAGTGATGGTGCAGCATAGAGATGGGATAATTGCAGGAGGGAAGCCTTTGAAAAGCTGAGATGGGATAGGATACTGAACACAAGAGGGTGGCCTTAATAATGGTGGGGAAATTTCTTTCATTCTAACAGGAAGGAAGGGAGAGAATGTAAAAAAAGATGCAGATGGGTTAGTGGGATTTATATTAGAAAAATGAGGTAGTTTTCACCCTATTGAATATATTTCTCCTTGAAATTCAAGATTAGTTTATCAACTGCGTGAGAGAGGGATGAATATTCGAGATGTAAGGAGATAGGAGAGATGTAAAATAGTCCTGTGAGAAGGTGGTAAATTGAATTTGCTAGGAAATTACAGTGGGAAACTTTACAAGAGAAGAGTGCCAATTTAAGATTTGCAGCCATAAACAGGAAGTGAATCTCATCAACATTGTTTTGTGATTTTTTTAAATAGCAATACTTTGGCTAATTAGTAGCAGTAGGCATCCCTGTTACCTAGATTGTGGTCTTGGAAAACCACTTTCTGTTAAAGGAAACCTGGGCTTCTTAGAGAAATGGCTAATTTCAGGCCTGGGGCAGAACATTTTCAAAATAAACCTGAAACATATTATCATAACAGAGCAAGTAAGTTATCCAAAACTACTGTCGTCATGTCAGAAGGACTCAGGGAGCAATATTAATAGTCTCCCACTTGCTAAAGATGGAACATTTGAGTATCAGTAAGGAAAATAACTGTGACGGATTGAAACACATCAGATATGTTTAAATCCGTGAGTTTATATTGATTAAAGAAACCAAAAACCAAAAAACACAAGACACATACACAACAATGACTATTACTGTGTGGAAGCCCTCAGAGAATTCGTAAATCAACTCCATATTTTAAAAACTAGATAGAGTCAAGAATTATTTATTTTTCTATACCACTATATTACTGGATAACCAAATAGTAGATATAGTAAAATTTCTCTTTAAAGAAGTGTTCCAGTAAATAAATAATGAATGATAGAATTGGGATATCAGCATTTTGTATCTCCTAATGAATAGTGAATTTGGACTGTAGTGGATTGAATTATGTACCCCCCCCAAACTCCCTGATGCTTGAATTGTTTCCCCCAAATTTTATGTATTAGAAACTTGGCCCTGACTGTGACTGTTAAGAGGGTGGGAAATCCTATTATGGTAATTGAGAAGTGGAGCCTTGATGAGGTGATTGGGACTGTAGGACCATACTGTAGTGAATGGATTAAAAATTGTGGTCAGGGGCATGGTTCTGAGGGCTTTAAAAGGAGAGGAGAGTCTGTCTCTCTTATTCTCTCTGCTTTCTCTGCCTCCACCATCTTGCAATGTGAGACCCCTGGGTTGCTGTTGCCACCACCAGATGGACTTTGGACTTCCCAGCCTTAGAAACTGTAAGCAATAAATTTCACTTTCTTTATAAATCACCCAGTCTCAGAAATTTTGTTATAGCAACAAAGGACGGACTAATACATAGACAATGAGCTTCAGTGGCTGCTAACCTCACAAAAAGCAATACCAGATATTGTGTATTTTATGGTAACATCAACCCTTGAAGTATCTTGTCCAAAAAATTGAACATGACTGTGGTTAATCTTCTAGATCCAATTTCAGGGTAAGCATCCCAAATCCCAAAATTCAAAATCCAAAATGCTCCAAAATTCAAAACTTATTGAACACTGACATGATGTGTAAAGGAGATGCACATTGGAGCATTTAGGATTTAGGATTTTCCGATAGGGATGAAGAACTGGTAAATATAATGCAAATATTCCAAACTCTGAAATCCAAAATACTTCTGGTTCCAAGCATTTCAGATAAGGGATACTCAATCTGTACCATTTTCCCAAGAAATACAGAAAAGAGATTAACATGTTAATCTGCACCATAGAGATGTAATTCAGATTGTGGGAAACTTTACCAGAGAAATTAAGCAATAGTGCCTAGAAATGGTTTATGATTTGGGTGATAAAACTATAAATTAACTACAAAGGAAGTGATACCAGTAAAGTCAGGATAGTTGTTACTCTTAGGAGGGAATTTTTGATTTGGAGAAAACATAGGTGGCTTCTGGGTAGCTGGCAAGATTCTTTCAGTTTAAGTGGATATTATGTAGAAAGGTAGTTGCCTTATAACAATTCATTTATTGGATGTGGTTCTCTGTATTTAAGTTATATTTAATAATACTAAAGCAAAACTTTTAAGTGAGGATAAGACATACAATTTTTAAATTTTAATATTTTAATTTGTAAAGATACTTGTTAGGAAATTGAGAGGTGGGGAGCTGTTGGTAATCTCAAAGACTTCAGCTGAGAGTTTAAATAACAGAGTTGCAAATAGCAGCGGAAGACCACAAATCAAAGAATGAAGTAAGCTGCACATGAAAGAGCTGCTCAGCATTAGTCACTCACTTCAGCCATCTCAATACATGTTCTCATCTTTACACTGTGAAAATGTAGTTAATGGAATATATACTGAAAATCCTTGTTTACATATGCTTCATGTTGTTTTTCAAAGTGCTTTTATTTATTTTATCTTATTTAATGAAAGACTAAGTGAATCTATGAGTGGAGTTGATAATGCTATGTAAATTCTCTGTGTATAAAAATAGTCGATATTTCTTTAATTAAAAAATATTAACAATAATATAAGGCTAAACCTGTCTTTATTGTAGATGTCAATATATCATTCAAAGTAATTTCTTCATTACTTATAAGATTCCTATTCCTTATTTATTTAAGGAAATAATTTTCACTAGTTTAATATAAATGGGGATATATTAAATAAATTTGAAAAAAATTTTTAAATGTTCCTGATAGTTTGACAGGTCTGAAGTAAATTAAAACTATTCCTTTTTTTTTTCTACCAGGGGTCTTTTTATTAGTATCCATGATCGAGGGCATATTGCTTCAATTCTTAATGTATGGCCAGAAGATGTCATCAAGGTAAGTGGTCAGATTTTTCCACTATGGCATATTTGTTCTCTTTTCTGACCCATAAAACAGTTGGGAACATGTTGACAGTTCTCATTATAGTAGGTAGCATTCACTAGCTTTTCTAGTGAATATTACCTAATTTATAGCCCTTTGATTTTTGCATAATAGATGAATTTTGTTCTAAAGCCATCTGGATGCCAGATTTCCCCATTATTTCTGTCTAATTTGGTAGTATTTCTTAATTCATTGTAAGTGATGATAAATGTTGGACATCTTTAAGCCAGCTACTTTATCATATGTGCCATGTTTAAGTCATCCATTAGGAGGAATCCAAGTAGTCAAAAAAAAAATGTTGATTCATTTATTTTATCATTATGACCTTAATAGCTCTTTTGATTTCCCTCTCTCAGTGAGTTGATGAAAATAAAAGTAATAACAGTATTTGACATTTGGTAGCCTTCTGTGTGAGATGCTTTACATGGATTAACTCTTGTAATTATCATGATAATTCAGTGAGGAAAGGAAGGCACGGATGGGTTACATAGTAGGGCATGGTAGTGGTGGGAACTGAATGCAGGCCCCAGCAGTGGCCCCAGAGCTCCTGCTCTTAAACAAGGTGTGTGCCACCTTCCTTGTCTAAGGGAGGTGAGATGTACTTGTCCTCCCTGTGGCTCCCTTTTTCCTATCTGTTGGGTGCCCAGAAACTTTGTGGTATCTTTTAGGACTAAGATTGAATAAATCGATGCCCTGTAGTGGTACAAAAGGACTTTAGCTATGAATTCTGAAGTGTGGTTTATTTTATGATCTTTTCCAATTGAGTAGTCGTGGCTAGAATTGATTAATTTGGCTCTCTAAGGCTCATGCTAGGAAACTTGTGAAGTGAAATGTTTTTCACTATTCCCAATCTCCCCAATTTTTTCACTTTCCCCACCTAAGTTGCTTCCTCTCCTTTTCTCCCACCAACTAGACTGCACTATTCACAGATCCTGTTCTTAGAAACTACCCTAAGAAATATGTTAATTCTATAAAGCATAAAGGCCTGATCATCTGAGAAGAATATTTACATTTTAACCAGGAATCTAGAGAGGATTTTAAGAAACAACAAGTCAATAGAGCAAATAATTTTGGAATAGAATTCTAATCAATATCCCTGTAATTGATACAACTAGGCAGTAAGTAGTCACTCTGCTTTTTGTTCTTCCAACTAGCTGATCTCTGCAGTTACTTTAATAGCCTACCTTTATCCTTTAAACTCATGATATTAGGCCGTCACTGATGTTCTTGACCCTTACTATGCCCACTATTACTAAAAAATCCTAGAATAGTGTCTGGCACATTGTTATCACTTAATAAATGGTAGTTATTGATTGTAATAGAATACTGAAGTACATGATAGGAATACTTCTCTACTCAAAGTACACATGAAACAAAGGCAATCAATTTTTAGACAAAACATAATTAAACTGAGTGGATACAAGTGCCATATTTATTCACTGAGAGAATCTTGCTCAGAGAAGGCTGGAATCGTTAAGAAAACTTTTCTAGCAAAGTTAGAACTTAAATCTAAGCTTTGATCATTAGCAGGGAAGAAGATAGTGTCCTAAGAAGAGAACATATGAATTTAGGCATCAAGTTGAAGAAGAGAGTGGTGTGTTCTTAGACAATAAGGAAATTGGCTAGACTGACTAAAGCTTATGAAATGTAGTTGTATTGCTTAAGTAAGAGTTGTTACTTTATAAATTATAAAAAGTCTTGAAATTCAGAAAGAGGGATTTAGAATTGAAAAAAATACAATGTCATATTTAAATAAGGAAATGACTTTTTATAAGTACTATTTGAAGAAGGTTCATCTGGAGACAGATTTTAGAATGGTCTTGAGAGAAGAGGAAAAGAGGCAAGAGTTCTACATTTAGGTAAGCTAAGAGAAGGAAAGGCCCTGGAAAAGGAAAAGAACAGATGAAGACAAGACACATGGAGAGTGTCTGTGTGTGTTAGGAGAACCCTGCATATTTCATACAGAAATATTCTGTTCAGATAATGCACAGATAATTTATATAGTGGGATGAAAATTACAAGAAGCAACTCTGGGCTTAAGTGGTTTCAATGAAACATGTAAAACATTATATAAATTATTAAAATTATTATTCAGATCATAACTAAGTTATGTGACATTACTCTCCTTATAAAATATATCATAACAATATTTGTAAGTATAGGCAGGCCAACTGGACTTTACCTGTATAAGGAACACATATGTTATCAATGATATATAAAAAGTATATGTTATCAATGATATATAAAAATAACTCTATTTGTGATAGCACAAAGAATAAACAGTATCTATTAAATATACATTGGCAGTATTTGGACTTTGAAAATTTGGCTTTAATTTAACTTAAAAAGCAAAGTTGTGGTTCTCTGCAGTATTTGTTTACCTTTTTTTAATCCTAAATCAGAGCTAAGTTAACCCAGTGGTATCGATTTACCTCCTCCAAAAGAGCATAACATATTGATCCATTGCAATTAGACATGGAAAATTTTCCAAAGGTGAGCTGTATGGAATATGCTAAAATAATTTTCACCCACTTTTCAAATGTATTTACTTTTAAGGCAATTCTTTAAGAGCTGAATAATATAGATGAACAGAAAATTAAAGGTAAAGATCTCAAAAGCATGTTTTTAAATATATTCTGCAATATAGCCTGGAGAAAAGAGCACTGTATTAGGAGTTAACGTACCTGGGTTCTGGTTCTTTGATATTAACCAGGTAAACCACCTTAGGCAAATTAGTTCAGTTCTCTGGACTTTGGTTTCCTAATCTATGAAATAAGAGTGGTGTACTGAATGCACTCTAGATTCTCCTTTATTTCTAAAATGCTATGATTCTATATATTAGTTCTAATGATAATAGTAATAATAGCTATACTTTTTAAAGAATGTGTAATGTGCCAGGTGCCGTGGTAAATTCTTTCAATATTATGATTTATAGACTTACTCAATTGACTAATATTTATTGATTATTTACTATGTGCCGAATATGCTGTGCTAGGTGCTGGTGTACAGTGGTGAGCAAAATGGAGCTGGTTTCTGGGTTTAAACAGCTACTCTGAAAAGTATATTTATTATTTTCATTTTACAAATAAGAAACAGAAGCTTAAATTCATCACTTTATTCAAGGCCAGATAACTGATATTTTTTTCAAGTTTCCATGGATATAATGAGTGTAGCAGTTTGTAGAATATCTAATAAATTGTATTTCATGAGATTGGTTTTGCTTATATTTATATAATGGTCATGTTAGATGCAGTAATTTCAATAATGATATCAAATAACTTGAATAGAATCTCCACATGATGAAAATGTATGCTTCATAAATATTCAACGTCGTTAGAAATAAACCAAACAAAATTCATTAAGTCTAGTGGAAGATTATCAGGTAAGAGAAGTAGCAGACTGTTCTGGGCATGTTTCAAAGATGGTAGAACAATATCAAGTGGTTATAGGAGTTAAAGGGGATGGGTCAATATTGTTGTATAAAAAGGAGGATGGTGCCAGAATGTATAAACTACAGATCAGAGCATTCCATAGCACAGGTATAAACGCCAGCAATTATTCAATACTTAACTCTGGGCACTCCTGTAATTTCACTAAAAGTGAATGTGACTAGTCTCAAAGTTGCCCTAAATTTTACTTTGGCTCCCAGTTAGAGCTCTGACCCTGTACTTTTCCCACTTGCCTCTCGATTGAAGACTAAGTTCTTTGGGTTATTTGAAACTTAATGTGCACAACCACTCTTCCTTTTTCAATAACCTAATTAAGCATATACAGGGTACTTCAAAAAGTTTTGAAAAAATGGAATTAAAAGATAATATGAATCTTTCCAAACTTTTGAAGATTATATATATATATATTTTAAACATTTAAAATATGTATGTCAAATTTCTTTTCCCCATTCTTCCACAATTATGATCACAAATTTCAATTTATGTTTTTCACAGCTTTATATTGCATTATGTAAGTATTAACTTCAAAAATAAAGACCAGAAATCATGCCCAAGGATTTGCAAAAATCTAACAAATATTTTTACTTTTCCTTCTAGGCTGTTGTGGTGACTGATGGAGAGCGTATTCTTGGCTTGGGAGACCTTGGCTGTAATGGAATGGGCATCCCTGTGGGTAAATTGGCTCTATATACGGCTTGTGGAGGGATGAATCCTCAAGAATGTCTTCCCATCATTTTGGATGTGGGAACAGAAAATGAGGTAAACAATTTAAGTCTATAAGACAGCTATGTATCTTAAATAATGGCAACAATTCTTGCATTTTGAGTTTACTCCAGCAACTTCATGAAATTCATTCTTTTCTTGTCTGGTTCTCTCTTTCCTCAAATCTGCCCTCTAACTCTTAAAGGAAAATTTTCTTCTGTTCTCCTTTCCTTTCTCTATAATGTGATTAATCTTTTATTAGCTTCCATATTCTGTGATGTTACAATGAAATCAAATAAAGTTTAAAAATCACAAAATCTATAGTAAATATTAAAAATTTTAGGGAGAGATAAAGAGAAGTAAAGAGTGATGAAGCAGGTATGCAGAAATTTAAGAATTCAGTTTTAAACCGGGGCCTTTTTATTGAGAGATTGCCATTATAATGTAGAC